GGTCCCAGTTACGTAGGAGGAATAGACAGGAAGATCGAGGTGTGAGGTTGGCCCTGGGCAAAAAACTGACACTCTATCTAAAAATAACCAAAGCAGAAAAAGTCTGGGGGAGTGGCTCAAGTGAAGAGCACCTGCCTAGCAAGTGCGAGGCCCTGAGTTCAAGATCTTGGTGCTGCCCAAAACAATCATTTTGGTGAAAATTTATGTCTTTACAATACGCTTACTTACATTCATGAACGTACATAACTATTATTCAGCTCTTCTTTTATGTCCTGTAAAAATTTTCATCTTCTTTGTATAAGTTTTACACATTTGCTATTAGGTTTACCCTTAGATATAAGTGTATAATTCTGTTATTAATGAAATCTGTTTGTTTTCTCTGTGTAATTTTCTATTTGGTTAATGTGGCTTCGTAAGAAAGCTATTTGATATGAAATCTATAGGTTTTTATATGTTGACCTAATATCTGGTACCTTATTAAATTCTTTCATTAGTTCCCTTTTTTTTTTTCAGCAGCACTGCACATTGAGCTCAGGGATCACACTTGTAAGGCAGGTACTTGACCACATGAGCCACTCCACCAGCCCTGTTTTGTGATGGGTTTCTTTGATATACGTTCTTACCCCAGCTGCTTTGAACCGAGATCCTCCTGATCTCTGCCTCTTGAGTAGCTAGGATTACAGGCAAGAGCCACTGGCATCCAGCTAGTTCTAAAATTTTTTAAATTAATGCTGTTCTGCTAGGCACTGGTGGCTCATGCCTGTAACCTTAACTACTAAGGAGGCTGAGATTGGGAGGACAGTGGTTCAAGTCCAGCCCAGGGAAATAGTTTGAGTGATTCCATCTCCAAAATAACCAGAGCAAAATGGACTGGAGTGTGGCTTAAGAGGTAGAGTACCTACTTTGTAAAAGCAAAGCCCTGAATTCAAAACCCAGTCCCATAAAAAAACAAAACAAAACATTAATTCTGTTATATACAGATGATCATTTCACCTATAAATACTTTTAGTTTTCTCTCTTCTTGTCCAGTCTCTGTACTTCTTATTTCTTTTACTTGTCTTGGCTAAGTCTTCCCACAAAATGTCAAACTATAGTAGTGATAAAGGTTGGGGTTGTGGCTGAAGTGGTACAGCACCTGTTGAATTCAAACCCCCAATACCACCAAAAAATAATAGTAGTGATAAAGTTACTGACACTGTTATGATGCTTTCCCATATGACAGGATATTTGTTGTGGGTTATAATTAAAGATGCTCTTTGCTATTTTTAGCCTAAGAATTTAGTTAAGTGGTGTACTGTTGTATTAATTTTCAGGGATCTATTAGGATTATGCCCTTCTTTCTTTCCATCCTTCCTTTCATTGTTCTTTTTCTTTTCTTTGTTTTTTGGGGGGGCTGGGATTTAAACTCAGGGCTTTGAGCTTGCAAAAAGGGTGCTCTGTTGCTTAAGCTACACCTTCAGCCCATTTTGCTTTGGTTATTTTGGAGATAGGGTCTTGTAAACTATTTCCCAGGCTGGTCTCAAACTGTGATCCTCCACTAGCTAGGATGACAGGCTTGAGCCACTGGTTACCAGCTTCTTATTCCTATTTATTTATTTTAGTGGTACTGGGGTTTGAACTCAGGACCTCATGCTTGCTGGCAGGCACTCTACCACTTAAGCTACTCTGCCAGCCTTTATTTTGGGTTGGCTATTTTCGAGATAGGGTCTCACAAACTATTTCCGGGGCTGGCCTTGAAGCACAGTCATCCTGAACTTTGCCACCTGAGTGGCTGGGATTACAGGCATGACCACTAGCATCTGGTTCTTTTTCTTTCCTTTCCTTTCCTTTTTTGTTTTGACAGGGTCTTGGTGTGTAGCGCAGGCTAGCCTTGAGCTTTCAATCCTCCTCTTTCAGCCTCCCAGCTGCTGGTATTGCAGGTGTATGACACCACACCTGCTTTTTTTCCTTTCCTAATCTGATAGTGAGAAGTACATCAATGACCTTCCTAATGCTTAGTCATGTTTTCATTTCTGGGATAAGCCTTACTTGGTCACAATGTGTTTGTCTTATAATTGAATGTTGACTGTGTAAAACATTCTATTGAGGTTTTGATAAAAAATGCTAATATAAGTTTTTCACCTAGGTGACTCAAGACTGTTTCTATCCATCACTAGATATGTGCAGTACTTATGGTACAAGGATCTTGATTCCAGAGAATCTTATTTTTCTTTTGTAAGTTGTTTGCTCTTATTAGCAGATATGAACTGTTCAATCCTCTTTCCATTTATTTTTATTAGCATTTTGAGGAAAGACACTTAGCTGGTCTGTCAGACTGTAAGGCCAGACTAAAGATACATGGGTAGACACGATAACAATTTGCAGGTTCTCTTACTTTGATGCTGTGCTTTTCTCTCCCATAGGAGTGCACTCTCAGAACTTGGTTAGAAATGTAACTCTTCTAATTATTAACTAATAATTTCATAGTTGCTCTGAGGCTTTATTACACCATCTGTAAAAACTAAGATTGTAACAATACCACCTATGGCAGGCTGATGGACCTTAAAATGATAGCTTGTATACATTTTCAGCAAGGGGAAAGCAAATTATGCACAACTCCTAATAGATGCAGAGAATAGGTTTCATTTGGACCCTCTGTCAGAGCTTCCTGGATTTACACATTTCCTTTCCAAAACACACACCAGGTTACAGGCAGGCTGTTGTAGAAGGAGAGTGTAGAAAACACATGAAGTTTGATCAAGCCGGGTACAGTGGTATGTAGCTAGAGTGCCAGATTCTCAGGAGGCTGAGGCAGGAGAATCACTGCAGGCTCAAGGCCAGACTGGGCAACATAGTGAATCCATGTTTCAAGAAGAAAAAGAAAAACCAAAACCAACACCCGAGGCCCAAGGATTTCATGGCTGTGTTTACCAGTCTTACAACTGTCTGGGAGGCGGTCTCTGCCATCATCACCTTTCATTACTTTCAACAGAACCTACAGAAACACCACTTGCTTGCTGTCAGGTCCTACTGCACCTCGATGCACTTACACTTGCTCCTGGGGTAGCTGTGAAGCTTAAGGAAGGCAGGGTAGCACCTAGCATAGCAGCACCTACTCTGTGCTGCTGGTTTCACAAAGATGGGTGTTAATTGTTTAAATAAGACTTATAAGAAAAATGTGCTGTGCCAAGAAAGGGGTAACAAGATTTTTTAGGTACATTTTTATTGTTTCTTTTTTTTTTTTTGTGTTACTGGGGTTTGAACTCAGGACCACTCCACCAGCCCTTTTTTGTGATGGGTTTTTTTGAGATAGGGTCTCTCAATTATTTGCTTGGGCTGGCTTTGAACTATGATCCTCCTGATCTGTACCTCCTTAGTAGCTGGGATTACAGGCATGAGCCACTGGCTCCCAGCTTTCATTGGTTTTTATTATGACATTTTCATATATGTATACTTTGATCATATTCAACCCATTATCCTTTTTTGTCCCCTGCCCTCTCCCCCTGATCTTGTTCCTTTTCCCAGATAGTCTCCTTTCTACTTTTAATGCTTTTTCTTTTTCTCCCAGTACTGAGTTTTGAACTCAGGGCTTCACACTTACTAGGCAGGTGCTCTACCACTTGAGCCATTCCACCAGCCCTTTTTTGTGTTGGGTAGTTTTTGAGATAGAGTCTTGCTTTTGTTGCCTAGGGTGGTCTGGAACCTCTTGATCTCTGCCTCCTGAGTAGCTAGGATTACAGGCGTGGGACCCTGGCACCCAGCTCCATAATACCTTTTATGACTGAACACTCTATTTTTCTTCTCTATGGCCGAATAATACTCTATTCATCTGCAGCTGGGCACTTAGGCTGATTCCATAACTTGACTATTGTGAATAAGGATGCAATAAACACGGCTGAGCAAGTGCCTCTATTGTATGCAGACTTACATCTTTTGGGTATATGCCCAGAAGTCGTACAGCTGGGTCATACAGTAGTTCTGCTTTTAGCGTTTTGAGGAATCTCCATAAATTTCCATAGTGGTTTCAGTAATTTGCATTCTCACCAACAGTGAATAAAGGCTCCTTTCCCCACCCCATCCTCAGCTATATAACAAGATTTTAAAAAAGGCAGTTTCCCTAAAACCTAGTGGGTAAGACACATCACACTACACAGTGTGATTGTCACAAGGTTGAGGCAATCTGCAAGCGGGGCTCTGATCTCCAGCTGCATGGCACCCACAGATGCCTCTCTGCATCAGGAGGTACTGGCCAGTGGAAGGCAAGAAGGTGGCCTTGTCAGCCGCAGCTCGGGCAGGAACGTTTGGAAGGAGCCACGTCCTGCAGCTGCAAATGTCAAGGAGAACGCTGGGCAGGAGGACGGCCTTCAGATGCGGCTGAGGTGGAGGGCTTGTCAGGGCCCTGGTCAACCCGAGGTTTGCGGAGGTGAAACGCCCCAGTCCCCAAGGGCAACTGTTTGCCTGTAGCCCAAGAAGCGGCCGGTGGACAGGGAAATAGTTTTCTGCCTTGTGACCCCGCTGGCTGAAGTCACTTGGTGACCCACAAATCAAGTCCAAGTTTCTGCACCGCGTTTCCCTGAGTAACTTAGCGGCGAGCTTTGCTGACACAGAGCGCTCCATCGTTCTCAGGATGCGGGACCCCAGGGGCGCAGCGGGCAGAAGCGGGGCCCTGCGGGAATGGCCGCCCCGGGCACGGGCGCAGACGGCCAGCTAGGCACGATTTCAAAGCGCCGGCATCTTCCATGCCCTGCAGTCCTTGATGTGCCAGGAGCGGCGCTCGGCGACCCGCAAGCCGACCCCCTGGGTAGCCCGAGGGCGCGCGTGAGACTCGGGCCGGGAATTCCACGGGGCGGCGCCCGGCGCACCACTCGATCCGGCTCGGCCCGGTTCGGCCCGGTTCGGCCCGGTTCGGCCACGCGGCGAGGCCACGGGGCGGAGCCAGTGAAGGGGCGGGGGCGGAGCCAGGGGCGGGGGCGGAGCCAGCGGCGCGCCCGTCCCCCGCCCGCCCTGCGCTCTGCGCCCCAGCCGGCGCGGCCATGGAGGTCTACATCCCGTCCTTTCGCTACGAGGAGAGCGACCTGGAGCGGGGATACACGGTAGGAGGGCAGGGCCGGGAACCGGGACCGCGAGCCGGGCCGAGGCTTCTGCGCTGGGCCGGGCCCCGCCGCCTCCGCCCTGCGCGCGGCACCCCCTCTCCTCTCCCCGCTCCCCTCCCCCGGCCCACAGGCTGCGCCCGCGCGGTCGTCAAGGAAACGGCCCCTCTCCCGGCCCCCCAGCCCGCCGCAGCCCCACCCCGCGCCCTTCTCCCCGCGGAGGCCTCGCCCGCTGCGCTCGCGTCCTGCCCACCGCCCCTGTCCACCAGCGCCTTCCCTGCCCTCGTCCAGGTTCCTTCCAACCTTCCAACCTTCCAACCATCGCCACCGAGCCAGAGGGAACATGGGTGGATTTGGATGGTTTCCAAGGGTTTTCCTTTTTCCTTCTTTTTCTGGTCCTGCATGGCACGAAATGGCACACGCAGGTACTCACCGAGCCCCTGTTCCAGAGAATGGTGGTCACCAAGAGGCTGGAAACGGAGCCTGCACTCCCCCGAGTGCAGGCCCCGGGCCCTGTCAGGATCAAGTTTAGCAGGAGCTGTTGGCTGATTCCCCAGTGAACTTAAGCATCTGCGGTGGTGTCTAGACGGGCGTTGCTCCTGGGACAAATGCCCCACAAGGGCAGACCTTGGGACGTTCCCTTTTGGTTGTTCAAGAACAGGTGCGGTGCTGCTTGTTCATTTCGCCTAGTCATGAACTTCTCTCTCTATCCAATCTCTCTGTTCCCCTTATTTTGTCCTGCTGCATTGGCCAGGTCCTCCCACAAAATGCCTCACACTAGCTGGGACAACATCTCTGGCACTATTAGGATGCTCCCCATGCCGTGTTGAATAGGATTTTTGCTTGGGCTGTGCTAGTTGGTCTTTAACACATTGAACACATATCTTGCTATTTCTAGCCTAAGAATTAGTAGGAATCACTGTACTGTGTTACACTGTTCTTTTCAGGATCTGTCGGGGAAAGATTGCAGAGAGGCCTGAGAGGATTGTGGTTTTATTCACAGCCAGTTCACTCACTTGATAAGTACTAGTTTCATTAATTTGCCAACTTTACCCCTTTCCCCTCCTCCACATTCTACTTTTTGGTGGCAGTGCATTTGAGCCATTGAGAGTTCATAGTGAAAACTAAGTCATCCTTGCCAAGGAAGATTTAGAATTTAAAACAGTGATTGGGAAAAAAAAAAAATCTAGAGTGTATGTGGGATTTTAGAATGAAGTAAACTGCTTGTTCTAAGTATCCTGAAACAAGCACTTCAAGTGCTGTGTTTGGGGAGGAGGCTGCGGTGAGGGGGCTGTGCTCAGTAGTGGCCTTTGTTTATGTAAATCCTTGCCTGTGTGTTAACATTTGGTTACATACTCAGTATCTATCTTAAAACAAAACAAAACATTTTTATTTTAGTACTGGGGATGTGTGCCAGTGGTAGACGCTTGTCTAGTGTGCACAAGGTCCTAGGTTTCATCCCCAGCATCCCACAAAATAACAAAACAAACACCACCAACTAAAACCCTCTAACCTGACCTAATTCCAGGTTGTCTTAAATAAAATTTTCTCAGTATCTCACCTGTTCTATTATCAGTAACAATGGGACCCTACAATTTGGGGGGCATTTTAGAATTTGGAGCTAGAAAGGCTGCTTGTAAGGGGCCTTGTGTTCAGAGAAGGTGAAGTGGTTTCAGTAGTCCAAGCCAACCCCTAACTATGTGCAGAAACAGGCACTTTGAAACAGATCAAAAAAGTAAGGTTCATTGCCCATTGCTGTTTTTCTTCTAATAGAGGAGCTGTATTTTCCCCTGCAGAGCTTTCATGTATCTTTTTATTACTTAATAATTATGTTTGTGTATGGGGGGCTTTTTGTTTTCAGTCATGGTCTTGTTATGTAGCCCAGCTCTAACTGAGGATCTTTTGCCTCAGCCCTGTGAGTGCTGGGATTACAATTATGCACAACCATACCTGGTTTATGTTTGTGTTTTAAATTAAAAAACCGTTACATCCAATTCTAACAAATTCAGAGATAGGAAATTTAAGTAGAAAGGATGGATGGTTCCTCCTCCGTGCTGATAGTCCCATGCCGCCAGAGATTCATGAAAGGTGTATGTATGTGTGTGTGTGTGTGTGTGTAGCTGTGATGGTGGTACTCTTAGAGTCTATGTTGTGAAAACATAGCTTTATATATGGCCAGGCATGTGCCAGAAACTCATTTGGAAGGAGCCCTTGTGGGGGTAAACTTGGTAGTTTGAAGATTGTTTGCATGATGAGAGTTCATGTGCTCTTAAAAGTTTACTTTTTGGGCTGGTGGAGTGACTCAAGTGGTAGGAGCACTTGTCTAGCAAATGTGAGGCCCTGAATTCAAACCCCAGTACCACAAACAAACAAACAGAAAGTTTACGTTTTAAAAACTATGTCAGTTAGATTGGGAACCAGGCCTCCTGTAGTGATTGGGTTTTCCTTCCTGGGGTGGTGAAGCAGCTGGTGATACTTTGTTCCCTCCTAGAATCGGTTTTATAATTGTATAGCCTGTATTCATTCAGTAACTGTTAACCACACTTCTGTTAGGAATAGAGCAGTGAGTACTGTTTCAGCCATAAAACAATGAAAAATAATCTCATTCTGGGTCAAGCTCATCCTTGGGAACTTGCATCCATCCATGCCCCAGCTTGTGTGTGTCGTTGTTAAGAGGCCCTTTGTGCTCATCACCAGATCCCCTTCACTAAGGTTGATGACCAGACGAAACTAGGGGATTGGGAAGGGCTCTGCAGAAAAGGGGAGAACCCCTGAAAGTGCTTGGCTGCCTTTGTGTGGTGGTGAAGGACTGTCGCAGGGATCTCAGACCAAGGATGTCATCCAAGAGAGAAATGAACAAATAAAAAATCAGATATGGAGCTGGCTCCATATCTTGAGTGGCTCAAGTGGTAGAGCACCTGCTTAGCAAGCCTGAGGCACTGATTTCAAAACCTCAGTTCCGCCAAAAACAAACACAAATCAGATTTATTTGTTCAAGAAAGGAACAAATAAAAAATCAGATGCAAGAAATGAATAAATAAAAAAATCAGATATAAGAACAAATAACTCATTAAAAAAGCATATACACATATATATAAAATCTGTTTCTTAAGTAAGAAACTGATAAAACTATACATTTTAGCTATGATTATGTTTTAAATTTAAAAGACATTGTATCAAATTCTAACAAATTGACCCATAGAAAGTTTAAAAGGTGGGGGGATTCTTCTCTGCTCATAGCTAGTCCTGTGTTCCCAGAGATAAAGCCTGGGGAGGCAGTGCTTAGAGATTACCCCCTATGCTACCAAAGTCAAGTTTTTGTTTGTTTAAGAATGAATGGCCTTGCACTGGGGCCATTTAAGTGCAGAGCACTTGAATGCAAGACCCTGAGTTCAAACCCCAATACTGCCAAAGTAAATAAATGGCCAAATTTTATGCCATCTGTCACCCCACAGTTTAGGGGCAACTTTCGGTGCCGACTTGGGTGGGTGAGTCTCTGATTGCTATTGCAGGTCTCCTGCAGTAACTCGACTGCTTGCTAAGTTTTATTTTTTTGGCAGCTCTAGGGTTTGAACTCAGGGCCTCACACTTGCTAGGCAGGTGCTCTACCACTTGAACCACTCTGCCAGCTGTTTGCTAAGTTTTAGCAACTGATCATATCTCATGTTAAAATAAATCTTTGCATATGCTTTTTTGTGCCATTAGTAGAATTTCTGTAAAACATTAACAAAAGTGGTACTTTTGGGTTCTTTAAAATTTTTATACATATTTTTTCTTATTCAAAATGTGTATACAAATTTATGCTCAATTTACCTTTTTTTGTTTTGGTGCTACTGGGATTTGAACTCAGGGCTTTGCACTTGCAAAACAGTTGCTCTTCTGCTTGAGCCACACCTCCCATCAATTTTGCTTAGATCATTTTGGACACTGGGGTCTCTGGGTTAGCCTGGGATTGCAATCCTCCTGATCTCAGCTTCCCTAGTAGCTAGGATTATAGGTGTGAGCCATGGGTGCCTGCTGGCTTTCAGTTTACCTTTGAAAGAGTGAACTTTGACCTCAGTGGACAGCTCACTCCTTACCGTGGGCCTGCTGGGTGCTGGGTAGGAATTAAAAGAACGGTATGATTCCTGCCCTCAGGGATTCTCAGACTGCAGGAGTGGCTGTTAGAGTGAGTGTGTCAGGGAAGGATTAGGGACTTGATGGCTGACCTCAGTTCTGCTCTGCAGTGCTGGGGCGGGGAGGGCTCAGGAATGCTGACTTTGAAATCTGATCAGCATTTTGCTAGCATGAGACTTTTTGAAAGAGGAAATGCGGGGCAAAAATCTCATTTCAGGGAAAAGGCATTTTAGAAACGCACTAAAAACCCAAGTAAATGAAAAAGCCATTTTCTTTTTTTATTTTCTGAGTCAGGATCTTACTATGTAGCCAGGATGGCCTCAATTCTGTTTTAGGCTGGAATTAGGGGAGTGTACCACCAGACCAGGCTGAAACTTTTAAATCAGTTTCCTTTTCTGAAAAGAAACAAAATGCAGATAAAGTCAAATGTTACTTTCCAGGGAGATGGTTCTACTCTGTCTACCGCCTCCTCCACAGTTTACTCTGGCCTCTGTTTCCTTGGGAGGCTGTAAGCTTCTTGGGGGCTTGGAACACTGTCTCTGGGGCTGTGTCCTTGTACGCCACCTTCACATGGTAGGGATTCAGTACATGACTGAGCCACTGAATCCTCCAGGACAGTAGAGCAGGGATCTTGGGGCGTGGCAGCCCAGTGGGCTAGGTGAGGTTGGGTGGAGGCTGGACTTTCAAGGAAGTAGCAGGGATGGTGCAAAGTTATTTCAGAAGGAGGTGAGGAAAGACCAGGGCATGAGCAGTTGGCTACTGAGGAATTTTAAGAAGGAAGTAGTGTGGTAAGCTTTGCATTTGGAAAGATGACTATCTCAGGCAGTTTGGGCTTCTGTGACAAAAATACCATAACCTGGGTAGTTTATAAGATAACAAAAATTCAT